CCGCCGCCGCCGCCGCCGTTGCTGCTGCTGCCGCTGCCGCCGCCGTCACCGTCGCTGTTGTAGTTTCCACCACCGCCACCAAGTTCATCTCGCATCCCCTCCGAGTCGTGCCGCCGCCACGCGACTGTAGCCCCCACCAGAAGCGTAAGCGTGTGTCACGCTCCGGATAGCTCTTGGTGCGTGCCCATTATTGAGGAGGGGGTAAGGGGCGCGTGTAGCAACGACGCTATCGTGGGGGTAACCTGGCCATCGGCGCGGTGGGGATGGAATTACGCTCGCGTAGGGACCGCCAGTAGTTCCGTGCTGTCTGCCGTGCGGGTAGGATACGACGTATTCGTGACGCGATAGTCTCGTCTGATTTCACCCCTTTTAGCCACCCTTACCCTGCAAAACGAACGTCGTCAGCAACGTCGAATCGCGCGCGCTCTCGTTTCTCTCTCTCTCTCTCTCTCTCTCTCTCTCTCCTCGAGTGGACCCGGGGACACGAGGAGAGTTCGATCGTGTGGAAGAAACGTCGCTCGCACGTCCGCGTTTAGCACCTGGAGGATTCTCGTCGTTTCCAATCCCCGACGAACGCGACCGCGTTCTCGGTGGACGCGCTCGTCGCGAGTATACATGTCGTGATGCCGCGGGGTGAGCGACGCGCGCCGCCGAGAGGACTCGCGGCCGAGGGTGCTTCGATCTCGTCCTGACGATACTTAGCCCTCAGTGGACCCTCTAGTGGTGCGTTCGGTAGAATAATGTTGGTGTGAGAGTGGGAAAGGCTCCTGACACGGTGCGGTGGTGTATCCAGATTCGTCGAATGGATCGGGGATACGTCTTTAGAGATTGTGCCGGCTCTGTCTGCTCGTGATCTCCGACGGGAAACAGACGAGCGTAGACCCCGTGGCCTCCCGTACTCTGTATCTTCCCGTATATATGCCAAGTGTGTGCGACGTGTAACACGTGTGACAGTTACCCTTTACCCGTGGGATACCACTGCGGATTATACGTTTTCTTCGACCGCAAAGGGTGGTCGGAGGCGCCGCGCCGGGTGCCGGATTACACATATACGTACACATACATATACACATACACCAGTGGTTCTCCTTGGTGCACGTTACGGCGGATTCATCCCTAAAGGATATGTCGCTATAGTGCTCACACCGATCGCAGCTACGATGGCCGGATACTCCAGTGCGCTCAATACGGATTTCGCTCCGGAATCAGCGCGGAGGATGCAACGATCTGCGATCGATGCTATCAGGAATGCCAGGGAATCCTCCGTATACGCGATTACGAGGTACATACCTTACGTTTTGAGAAACTCCTTCGATATCAAGGAATTACTTAATTATCGAATATTGTGTTTGAGCTGCGACGTTTATTATTAAGTCGAAAATTTAAGTATTTATAAATATACATTCACGTGCGAATCTTTATTGCGACGTAAAAAAATATATTATTTAAACCGTATGTACATATTTAGCTGGAGGATGGATTATATACTAAAAGATCATCAATTTATTTTCAAAATCTACTTGTGCATATTGCATGTCATGCACTTTAAATATCAAATATTCGATCGCGTCAGTTAAACACATAAATTTAAATACACATGAAATGTTCAAAGAGCGCTGCATGCACACACATTTTTGATGATTATTACAAACCTGCATTACCGAGTATAATATATTCTGTTTCAAATCTAATATATAAAAATGATCCCATTTCATTTTATAAGAATTAATAGGTTATATATTATATACTAATCTGCGATATACTTATGAAGAAATAAAAGATTTTTTTTCTCCTTCTTGAAAACTTTCGAAAGAGCATTCAATGCTCTTTGAAGGACTTCAAATGAGAAATGACTTTTTAATTACTGTACCATAGTTGTTAAACGTAAACTGAACAGCCAATGAACCGCGCGAATTAACGAAAAATTATACGGCTATCGTACGTATACGGCTATTGTTCTTCCAAGTAAATTTAGCATCTCGTTTCATAATTAAACGTGAGTATCTACGCGAGAACTCACTTTTGATCCCGCACCAACCCGCTAAATCTAAAACATGTAAACGTTAGTCACATGTATACATTATACATATGCACATGCGTGCGACGCTACTCGCATTTGCCACAATGCAGAATAATCTATGGGGATTCCAGTGACAACGGTTTCCGCGTTCGCAGCGTGCGCGCGCGCGCATATACGCGCGTGTATATACGCGCGTGTATACGTTCGACGCCTTAAAATATTCACGAGATCAATATTCTGCACTTGACGCGATATACGATTTTAGCATTGCGTCGCGAGACTTTTCGCGAGAATTTCGGCAACTAGATCAAACACGAACAAAATGCGAATCTTTACATACGTAACCTTTTACGAGATATGTGCTTGTTCGTATCGAGATTAACCCTTAACCGTGATATCGGATTCACGCTTTTCGGAAATACTTTATATACAATATTAAATTTTATATACAATATTTTATATACATTTCTATACGACGATATTAACCTTTAGAGAGAGAACGGGAATTTATTTTTTGAATCTTACAATTTTTCCTTGAATAAGATATTTGTCATAATTTCATTATTTCATTTGTAATCCTTGTCTTATAAAATATGATACTATATTTCAGCGTCGCTATAATAACTTTTTCGTGAAAAAGTAAAATATTAATTTTATATAAGAATAGAATCTCTCACGTAATTTTTCTGATGTCTCGCACGACATTCACATGAAATATCGTAGAGTGAAATATCGTAAGAAAGCTATTCTTCTAATTGATTACACGAACGTAGTTCCCGAAATAGGTGCGAGCCTAATGGACCCGTCCGCTAGACGGAGGGTTAAGTGACACGCGGTGAAATTAAATGCCGTTACCCCCGAAGAAATTTACGCGATCGATACAGATACGCGCGGTATAAATATGGCGCTACCAAGGTCCAAGAGATGCCAGATCGCCACATCGGCCGATGATAAATGGTCGAGTTAATGGCCGACGTACTATTAATGAGAAAGAGGATTTGTTGATGTCGGCGAAAATAAGAAACCGACGAATCAACGTAAAGATGGTAGATGTTTAGATTAAGTTTTTTGCTCGTCCGTCTTTGTTAGAGCCCGACCATCATGGTTGGCAGTAATAAAATTTTGATCCAACGCTCTCGAATCTAGTTCAAATATTTCTTTTATTGATTTCATAAATATGTTTGCTCTTTCTTGCAAATAATTTGTCAAAATTTTGATTGATTAAAATTGCTACGAAAACGTTATATGTCTATTGTAAAGCATCTTTTATTTTTTAATTTCCATTTTATACATCTTGTTAAATCATATATCGACAATTTTCAGTTTTCTGTATCAAGAGATGTGTACATTAAGTAAAAAAAACTAAATATAGGATAAATAAATAGGAAAAATATACAAGAAATAAATTCAATTCATATCGAATATAAAATTTCGAATCAAGTTTCAAATTTAAATTTCATCATATTTGCCGAATTGACTTTATTATTCGATATAAGATTTAGTCCTAAAGCGGATACAGGCTAATTTTATTAGAGAGAATCTCGCTAATTTTATTAGAATATTATATGTTATTAGAATATTATATGTTCAATGATATGACAAATAAATATTTACACTTATGGATACAATGTCTCATTCGTAGTATCAATTATTTATAATATCAATTTTAATTCCATTATTCAACTATGACGAATGTAAAATTTTGAAAAATTAACGCGTTAATAGAAATATCCATTCAATTTTTAACTATGATAAAATGTATATATTAATGATAGAATGTAAATATGTAATAAATTTATAATTCGAATTCTTTAATGCAGATAACGCATAGTATAGTGTAGATAGTGTAGATATTTGGGAATAAAGGTAACTAAGAGAATATAACGTAATATTCGGTACACCGCTATGTTGCACGAAAATAGTTTCTAATATGTGCACAGAGAGCTCATAGCGCGAGCGTTCCCAGGTTAATGTCTTTATATTCTAGTGTTCGTGTTTGTTACTGAAAGCGTGGATGTATAGATCGTATCGGCCGGACATTTACTGCCTTCATTGCTCCCTGGTAAAGAAATATTTGAGCAACAGCTTGGGATCCTATAAATTTACAGTATGAAATCGATTAGCTTTCGCAAACTTAAGCAGAATTTATTAACAGTCTTATAGCTTTTCTGGATCGTTTGTACGCGAAACATTCTTGTTGTGGCCCTTTCTTTCTTAAAGGAGTGTTACAATCCCATTATTTGACTATTTGGATTTAAGCGGCTTTATAACAGATAATATCGCTAATTAATTCCACAGTTATTATATATGCAAGATTTGATATCAATGTTGACATCATTGCACAGTCATTGCTGAAAAATTTACATTTGTGTAATAGAGATAAAGATATAATATCAGATTTGCTTTTTGAAATATTTAATCGGAAAATTGAATGCGATTAAATCGAGTTTTTCATCAAATTTTAATCAAAAATCGAGTTCAAATATGTCAGAGCGTCCGTACCTGTCAGGATTGTGACTAACGATTACAGCGGCAGCTCGGCCACGCGTCCTATGTCATTTATATACACTTTCTATGTACTTTATGTATGTGTACGTTACACGATAAGCTAACAGCCCCTAATAATTAAGTCGACGCGCAAGCTCGGATCTAGGATCGAGTCTACGGTTAACTCGCGTGCATCTATCGGCGATTTTCAACGTTTAATGAGAAATCTAAATTGCGGATTGAATGCAGCAATGAGTTCCGCGGCGGAACTCAACAAAAGTTCTACGATAGTACGCGCGAAGTTAGAGCAATCGGAATCTTAAGATTCTCACTGGGAAGGTTAATTCCATTTAATAGTACGGGGAGGGAAGGGAGGACAACTTCAATCTCTAAGGTTTTATAAGTTCGATAACGAAGCCACGTAGGAAGGGTTCATCTTTCTTTTCAACGTTCATCGAGAGAAAAAAATTCTAGAGTTTTGCAAGACACCAGATTACGAGAGTTTCGTTGAAGTCGCGAGCGCGTAGGTGCGACAAGATGGAATTTTAATTTAGACAGTCGGTGAGGGAGGACGGATAGAGATTTAATATTCGTATAGCAACGAATCCGTCGTACCAATCTGCCGGCAGATGAAAATGCGTTAGAAAAACACTTGGACGGAAGAATAACAGAGATTACTTAGGAAGAGAGGAAGGTGTAGAGATCTCATAGAAATCTCATAGAAATCTTAGTTTAATATCACGGTTCGTTTGCAATAAAACGTTTGATTGCTCTTGTCACTTTGGAATTTTCGTGACACGTAATGTAATATCATCTTGTACACAAATTATAAATATAGAGAAATCCAAATCGAGAAAAATTAATTTAACCTGTATATTAAATATTTAACGCGATTTTATTAACGTGATATTAAATGCATTCTCAGCATTGCCAGGTTCTACCAATTTTATTGTTATATTTAACTGACGCAATAACATGCTGGACAATTTAATTTAGATGAATGCCATATGTGAATATGTACGGCATTCATCTAAATTAAATCGCTTGACTTTCTCGTGTGTGATTTAGCACATTATCCCAATCCTATGAACGTAACTCTCCTTCTATTTAACCATTGTCAATGATGATCAATAAAGCTGCTTGTATTCCGTCCAACACAGTACTATTTTCTCCCTATTGTTGCTCATTATTAACAGATTGCTATTAATTATGGTTCTCCGAATGAAAATTAATTCTTGATAAAACGTACAGCATATGATCGAATTACGCTCGGATTGTATTGTGAATAATTCAGATCGTATAATCGTCAGAGCATAGTTGTTGCCGCACCAGTATACACTATAGCTCTGTGACATTAACAACATTTATGCTTTCATTTTTGTTAATTCTCTTCGGACTAAATTACCTCGTGTACTAGCAGATAAATGAAATGAATCGATATATTCCGTTATCGCTATTTACTGATGGAAACAAAATCTCGCACGTATTTGTATTAACACCCCGTTTTTTTTTATATTTCACACAATTGGTATGTCACAATATGATCCCGGTTCATTTTTGATGGCGATAAATATTTAAAAAAAAATTATTCATACGGTTTTTTTAAACGTTTCAGTGATATAAAAGACAAAAAATAGGAATCTGTGTCATCTGAATTCACGTCTACATTATTATTATACGAAAATTGGCAATCGCGTTTTCCTTTGTATCAAGATCAATTTCAGTCATAAGAAGGATTATCGGTAGAATTCTTCGAGAGTTATCTGGAACTCTCG